CCCCAAAACCCCAAAACCCCGGGATCTTAGAAAGGGATTAAAAATTTAATCAATAAATTCATTAATTATATATCTAGTCTAAACATTTAAAGTCCATTTCTGATTTTAAAGAGCATCAATAAATTTATATTTCTCTTGTTCATTACTTTTTTGACTGAAATGTAACTTTATTCTTGTAGGCTTATCTAAGACTTTTGAGCAGTTAAAATATTATTTCGTTATTTCCATTATGAATCTCCTCTTCACTGTACAGCAAATACAATGGGACTTGCTAATAAAGAAATTAAAAAATAGAATTTAATTACATTTTTCTTTTTCAGGAGTTATAGTGCCTTCTTAATATTTTATAAGCAACTCGCACTTGATTTGGGATTTAGTTGCAAGTTCTCAAATTTGTGATTTTCCAATACTCCAACAATTTAACTTAATAATAAACTATATGGAGGTAAAATGATTTATCTAACTTACCCATCTTTGAACTCAGGAATGTTGTCCTTCTCGGTAAAAAATGTTTTTGGAATACTAATGTTAAACTAACCCATCCATTAGGCAATTTTTTATTTCTCTTTTTGATTGAAAACATTTCTATTCTAGTTATGCTCTTCATTTTCATAATCTTCAATTGATATCATACTTGGTCTCTTGATATGACTACCACCCTCGAATTCTAAGGATTGACCTCTACTCTTGATATTTAATGGTGATCTAGTTGGTGCTACTGGGTACTACTAGGTAATATCTGATTTTTAAGGCAATACTAGTTCATTTATCTTTTAAGGTATAGCCTAGTACTTGTTAGTGTTTGTTTGCTGTGTGGGTGCATTGTAATTTTCTTCATCAAGGGTTAAGTTCGAAGGTTTTAGTTTTTAAGGGTATGGCTGGCATTGCTATTAAAATGGATTGTAATTTCTTTCATCAAACTTAGAATTGGCCATAGTAAAACTTTGTGGACTGAATGTTGTTCTATCCACTGCAGCTGCTGCTTTATTTATGTTGATATTCTCTCTCTTATCCATTGTTGTATTTATTATATCATTGAAGCCTCTTGACTAAAGAGAGCCATTAGTTTATTCTTTGTTTAGTTTATTACTCAAAAATACACCAAAGTTTGGTTTTCTTTCCTGACTTGTTTAGATCTAAGTTTGAATAGTAGACCTTGGTGATAGGGTTTAATATCCAGCATACAATGAAGTGGAAGTGTTCTCAATCTAAATAACTTTCTATGTTGTTTTATTTGTCTCGCTAGGTTGAATAGTCTGATGATTTCTGTAACTTAACAGAGAAGGTATCTCTTAGAATCTATGTCTATCAGTAAGCCCGCCTCCAAATTCTAAACTCTAATTAATCGTTGAAATGCACTGATCTGCTTTGTTTAGCTTCATTAGTTCTTTACCGATTGAGCTATCTTTGGTTCCATTTATATTATTGCTTCCATTTTGATTTCTATACCTCATATAAGGTTACACCTTATAAAGAGTATCTCCAAGGTAAGGTCCATCATGGAAGTAATTTGGACCTCTCTTTCTTGGCTAGAGACCATCAAAGCATCTGTGTAGGTCTTCTAATAGCCCAATAACTATGTTGATTTGACCTTCATATATCTCTCTTTCAGCCCAAGTAAACTTTTGGCTCATCTTGGTCTGCTTTTTCAAAACTTCCAAAGACTTTCTAATGTTTGAGATTGCAGTTGCTTCTGTCTTTGGGTCTTTAAATATACCCATTATCTTCACATTGAAGATTGTTGTAACTATTTCACAGAGTAAACTTCCATTGGAGATTTCTTTCTGTATCTCTAACAAACTTTAAACCTCGTTATAATGCTAGCCAAACTTGCTAAGAACTCCCATTGACTTGATCCAATTCAGAATACTAGTTTCAAGCAGCTTGATCTCCCCAGTGGTGTAGGGTAATGCCAAGTTTTACTGAGATTGATTGCTCATTACACTGCAATTGGCAGCAGCACTAGTTGTATTCAGTAAAGCCTCGTTTTCGATTGGCTATACATCTGGGTATGAGAGTTTTAAGTAGTAAAGGATTGAATAAATAGTTTGCTTGTCACGCTTCAGAATATTTTCCACAGCTTTCTCACTTAGCAACCTGGATGGGAAATCTCTTCTTCTTTATTTAATGATGCTTATCACTTTCAACAGGTTCTCTTTGCACTCTGATATAGTGGAGGGGTATTAGATGATCTTGTAGAGAGTGATTTTTTCAAGATAGCTGAAGAGTTCTCCCAGTAAAATGCCATTGCTATAGGGATCTCCACAGATGTCTTTATGATCAAATTCCTTTGATAAGAAACTTTAGAACTTTAGGTTAAAAAGCCAGGTTCGCACATCACTTATCATGTCATCGCTTATTGTAAAGTGCTCATAGTTATTACTTGCTCCTTTTTGGTTGATTGATAGCAGATTTAGCATATCTCTATCGTCCTTTTTGCTATTGCTCATGAAGTAAACCTTGCCAGTTTGATCTTTTGCAATTGGAGAGTTGATGTTTGAGATATCTCTTCTTCTTTTAGAACCACTGTTTCTGCTAAAGGAGTTATTCCCATGAGTTGACATCACAGCTCTGGTAGATTTGTAACCTGCTTAAAGAGGAGCGTCCTATGCTCTCAGATTTCTAATTAATGGCGTTTTTTATTGGTGAAGTGATCCATATGACCGTTCTCTTGGTAGGGTTTGATTTACCATTGAATCGTTCTAATGATGATTCCCTTTATTCATATTTTAAATATTAGGAGTCTGTACTCGCTAGATATTTATTTTCTAGTTATGCTAATCGTAGTCATTACTGTAATTCTGAGGAACGTGAGAGGCTGTTGTATTAGCATTCGTTGCATTTTATGAAGTTCTGCGATCCATTGTTCTGTTTGATTGGATCTTTGGAGGAAGCATCTGTGTAATATTGTTTGAAGTGTTTTCTTTAGTTAACTAATTTAGCTATTACTGTTAATATCTCCCAAGTGAAGAAGTGTCATCTCTAGTTCTGCTTTATGAAGACTTTAAATTGTTTGAGGGGGCTTTGTATGTTATATCATAGGGGCTAATTTTATTGAAGTGCCAATGCCATATATCATCTAAAAATCCCCAAATAACATCAGTATTACCGTCAATGATATATTTCTGAGCCCATAAATATCTTGCACAAAATTTAGGGAATTGTCTGAAATAGTCTAAGATCTTATTGAGATTAGCAATGATAGAAGTCATATTCTTGGGATTTCTGTCAATACCTTTTATGATTGCATGCTTACCATTTAACCTGTTAATTAAATCGCAGAAGAAAACACCATTTTTGCAATATAAAGGTAGCTCATTAATAAGCCTTTCATTATTTTTGAGTAATTTTACGTCTTGGACAAGCCAATCAAGCACTTTATACTGAGTTTTTATATCAATTATATCTATCTTTACTTCTTGTAAGAGTAATGGTTTATTTTTATTTGAGCCGAGTTCCTTGCTTTCAGGCTGAATGTTTAATGTTTGCATTTCATTCATTATTTCATCTTCATCAGAAGCTGGTTTCTAAGTATTCTGAAAAGTTTGCTGTCTTGAGATTTCCTTTCTCTACAGTGGCAAATTATGCTTGTTAAACGATTAGTTTTGCATGAAATTTTGTTACTAATCTTAAGATACAGAAGAAGTTTAGTTAGAAACAAATTTATGCTTTTGACTTCTAATATTAGATTCCATTGTAAGTCCATCCTGAATATTGGACTTATCAAATACATTATATTAATCTTGTATTTACTAGGACTAGTTTATTTTATTATGATTGGATTGCAATGTCTAAGCTGTAGCTGGGTCAACAGTCTTTATCATCTTTTAATTGGAGTTCTTAATTATCTTGCTATAATCCTAGTTTTCATTTTAAAGCTATTTGATCTTCCATTTCTCTCTACTTGCACTGGTACTGACACTGCTAATATGATTCTAATACAAACTCTACTGGTTATTTGACATACTTTTGTTGTGAGCATTCATAATGGAATTGCTGTGCTTGACACCAAATAGATTTTCCTTGTCCTTTGCTTAGCTGATGAAATTATGATTTACTACCATATATGAGTCATTGATTGCTTCAATTTCTTTTTCAAGCTAGATCTCTTCTGGATCTTTATTGAAAATATTATCTGGTGTTATACTATTGCCAATAGGCATAATTATTCCTCCAAGTTGCATGCTAAGAACATGCGAGACATCTTCTTAGTTATGATTAAGGGGAGAAACAGATTATTTCTAGCCAATCGGAGATATGTTGTTGATCTCAAGGGAATTTTCAAATCGTCTATGACTCAAGTTAGACTGAAATTTATCTTTAACCTGGTTTGGATTAAAATTATTAAGAGAAGTTTGCATTTGTAAGGGCAAATTTCTTGGTGTAATTATCAATGAATTCATTTTGTTGTCACTGTCGAGTGGATTATGATTCTGATAAGCAGAAGTAAATTGAGGCTAAAATACATTTCCAACAGAGGGTGATTTTGACATGAGTTAAGTTTAACCATTTGAGGATAAGTCTTCATGAATTTGACTAGGTAACTACTAAGTCTTCTGTTATGGATAGCTCATGGCGCTAGTATTATGATTTTAAGCATACTATTACTGCTGCTGTTGCTTCGATATGGGACTTTAGAGAATTCCGGTATTATTAGTGTAGCCTCCAAGTAGTTCGTGAACTTATTTAAGTACCTCTAAGAACTATAAAAGACATTCATCGTTTTCCATCAAACTTTGAGAATTAAGCGTTAAAGTGTGGTCAGGGACTGGAATAGAACTATTTTTGAGAATGTTTAAAGCTAAATCCATATTCTGCGCGATCAAGTCTTCGTTATTTCCATTTGAGGAGGCATCATAGTAGACAAGCTGTCTTATCTTTTCCTGGTCTGAGGGAGTGCATGTTATCAAGCCGACTAGATGACAGAAAGCAATACCTATAGACAATTATAAGCAAATTAATTTTGAGAACAAATTAGAATAAATTACCGTCTCTTAAATCATTGAGGGAATTTACTAGGAGGCAGTATGGATCGTTAAATGAATTGACCCAGTCAATTAACGGTCCTAAATTGGCATTGTACACTATACTCGAAGTGAGTGTCTGATGGGTATAACTTGAGTGATCCTCATAGGGAGGCATCTACATGTTCTGCACAAAGAACAAATCATCGTTGTTGGCGTTGCTTTTACTGGCAATATTCATCATCTTTATTTCTTGCCTTCTTTCTTTCTATGTATTTAAATTTTAAATATTATTTCATATTTTACTGCTGTTACACAGCCAAACAACTTAATGCTTGAGGGGTTTTGGGGTTTTGGGG